GGCACGGGGATCCCGGTGCTTGCCAGCCCCCAAGTCTTCGCTGCAAGTTGTCGGGGGCACGGCTGTCGCCTTCCCGGAGGGCTGGGGGTTGTTCCACACCCTGTGTCGGCACCGGTAGAGGGGCACCCTCCCGCCCCACTGCTGCAGCAGGATCGGTGCAACACAGCCAGCCTGGTAACTATTGCCTCATCTTCCCCCCCCGCCCCGAGTTAATAGCGCCTGCACGCAAAGTCTGTTCGCTGCTCCAGAAAGCATGTCCTCCGAGAAACAGAATTTATCTCAACGACCTTGCACCCAGTTCCATAGATCAGTCATCTCGTAATAAACCAAAAAATTGTTCAGATTTACATCTCCGAAGCCCTCCCGCTTCTCGGTTGCAGGCAAGAGTCTTTGACAACTTTTTAGCCCGCAGCTTCTCATTCCTCTACACTCCAGAACACTATTTCTTTAGCAAAGACACGTATTAAAGGGAATTAATTAACTAGGTTTGCTGGCTAGCTAATCAATTTTCTTGGTATAAACTGAGTACTGATGGAAGAACATTGATCTGTCGCTCCCCCTGCTTTCCCTGCATAGAGATGAAAAATAGATGAATACCCAGGTGAAGAAATTGGTATGGGATCATGTTCCTTCCAAATATAGAGTTTGGGCTACCTCAGAAAATGGGGTGAACGTTACTGGGATTTCATTTCATAAACGCACTGGGGAAATTAATATCAAAAGCGTCCTGATTTAGAGATCTTTCAACAAAACCAAATGGGAATGTTTCATTCTGAAGCAAGCTCTCATTTAGACATTTAAAGAATGGCAAAATCAAGGGCAAAAATCTGAGTGAAATGTTTTAATTGTGCTAAAACAAACCGTATTTACAATGAACGGGCTTTGTTTGTTGTCTGGTTGGTGGGTTTTCTTTTTTTTTTTTTCGATTTTCCTTCATGGAGCGGTTTAGGAACTTGGGGTCTCTCAGCCCTGTGTGAAATGAAAGATTTCTCCCCACCCCTCCACCCCAGTAATGCTTTTTGCCACCCTTTGAGCCCCAGCTGAAAGAGCAGCAACATGCCATGTTCCGTGTTTCTCCACCTTGGTCCTGCCAGTGTTTTGCCATCTCTGATATTCAGCAAGGTGTGCCCCAACTAATGACCCAATAAATGACTGGCACTCTACAACACTGGTCGGTAACTTTAAGCTGGAGAAAACCCTCTGGACTTCTTGAAGAAATTATCTGTTTTTTTTTTTTTCCTTAGCATGTTGGTTTTTTGTTTTGTTTTGTTTTGTTTTTTTCCCATGAAGGTGGATCCGCTTTATTAGCAACCAGATGTTTCCTTTAATTGGCATCCTGCCCCATGCCTCCTAAACGACTGATGTGACTACAAATTGCTCAGACTCTGTGACTTATTTTTCATCTCATTTATTGCAGGCATGAATACAGGAACAGGTAAACAGCTGAGCCGTAAAAGTTTCTCTCTAGGCATGTTTTCAACAAAATGCCATCATACACTGTCTGACGATACACGCTGCTACTCAGATGAAACAAAATGGTGTGAGCAATCTTACTCCAAAGCTGCTACCCACCAGTCAAAGCAGCAGCTGCCAAAGAAGCCTTCTCCTCCGCTTACTCTCTCCTTTCCCTCCTTCTCCACCTCATCTACAGGTTCTTTTACGGCACTTAACTTTACAAAACACAGTTGTGAGGTTGATCTTACATGCAATTACAGATCAGCCTCGGTATATTTATTGCAAACTCCTTGAACATCAGGACATTTTAAAAAAAAAAAAAAAAAAAAAAAAAGGAAAAGAAAAAAGAAAGAAACAATATTTCATTGCATAATTACGAGTAGGTTTTTGTAGCCAACGAACCAGAAATGTATTCAGAAAAAAAAAAAAAAAAAAAAAAAAAAGAAAAACAAACTATATTTGTAAACAGTTCAAAGAAAATACGATGCTGCCTCCAATGAAACATTTCAATGCATTGCCAGCTCTGTTTCAAATGGGCACGTAGGCATCCTGTTGCAAGAGAGTTGTGAAGCCACGAACTGAAACTTCGGAGGAGTTACTTTTCAAACATTGCGCTTTCAGGGTCTAAGTATGTTTGAAACGTGAAAAATTTGCACACACTGTGGGATATGGCAGAAATGTGGGATCTCAAACAACATTGCTGAAGAAAACCTGGTTATTCCTTTAAAAACAAAATGGTGAAGACAGCTGAATCACACAAAACCAAAGCACAATAGGTTGGCTTCCATAAGAGACTGCAATATGAGAAAATATTTAACTCCTTGCATAGCTATTTAAATGGCCAATAAGTTTTGCTGGAATCACCCAAACATGACAACGTGGCGTTCTGCCGCTTAGAGACTTCACGCTGGAAAGCTGGGATCTGCTGGCGGGGTCAGGGCGTCCCTCGGGGCGCCGCTCAAAGCCAGGGCTGCCCCGGCAGGCTCTGCCGATGTGGCTCTAGCAGGAGGTTTTGTCAACCAGCTGCTCCCAGACCAGGCACACGAGGCCTGCCTGCTTCTGGCACTGGAAGTTACCCCAGCTCTCTGTTGTCCCCATAAGGGCTAAAAGCTTTTCTGGCAACAGGGTGCTCCTGGTAGTATATTTACACCTAACGTGCAAGGCTGCTGCTGGCAGAGCTGCGTCAATCACAGATCGTACCTCAAAGCACCCCTGGGTGATGTAGCCGTGTTGGCAAGGGTTTGCAACGTAGACCTAACCAGAGGGATGGAGAGCGGGATTCATCTCACTTAACTTTAAGCAGTATAAAGGTAGACATTTAAGTCAGAGGCACCTCTGGAAGGCAGTTCCTTTGATCTCTCGTCAGGCGAGAGTTGGGCATATTACTGTTAGGTGAGAGGAACCCCTTTCCCAGGAGAGCTGAAGAGACAAAGTCCTTTCAGCCACCCTCTCCTGTCACCAACTCTGGAGACCATGCTTCAGAAGGCTGCTGTTCAAATGCATTGTCTTTACACGTGCCAATGTACATGATAATGATAGCCTGTGCTGGGCTTCATGCTGCCACAACTACATATGCAAGCTCATTAAAGCTAGCTCAGATACTTCTGCACTATTATATAGACATACCCTCAGGCAGAGTATCCTTTCACACCTGTAAAGTTAAAGTCTAGGGGCAAATCCAGACTATCCGCCCCTCAGCATGTGTTCATGTTGACATTGTCTTGTTTGCAGTAGTTTTGGGTAACAGGTGTCCTAACACTGTAATTCCCAACCAGAGGCGAGGCAGGAGTGTTTATTCAGAGGATGTGAAAACTGAGACGCTTAGGCTTGGCTGAAGAAGGTACGTAGTAAGAAAGAACAAGGTGATGACATTCCACAGTTAAAAGTTCAGCTTGATAGCAGTAAAACAGTTTTAATAAAGCCCCACTGGACTGCAGAACAGGAAAAGGTGGCAGCCAATGGATAAGACACTGAAACAAGACAAGGCAACGTACTTGGGGTTGTTCTGCGGAAAACTTCCCACAGGAGCTAAGCGGCCACGCGAGCCTCTCCCTCTTCTCCTGCTGGGAACCAAGGAGGGAGGAGTCTCGGCTTTTTCTCAGCTACGCCAGGGCACACCTCACCTAAAAAGACTTGGCCACTGTAAAGTAACCTTGGTTCATGTTTCTTGTTTTCCAGTTATGACTTATTTCAGCTGCAGAGCTTCTACACAACGGGAGCAAAACGTTGCATTGAAAATAACAAACTAATAGCTTGTTTACGAGCCAGAACATCCGATAGGCTGGTCCGAGTCAGGCGTGCAGTTTTGCTAAAGGCTCCTACTTACGTGGCCAGACTGCCCTAATGTGGGTAATCGGATCTGCCTGCCCCCGAACCTGAAGGCATTTTGTGGGGTTCCCAAAGTCTGCTCCATGGCAATCGGCACCACCGAAGCGTGTGTTCAGATCTGGTTTTTCTGTTTTTCCTTGGCAATGACTTTGTGAAACTGCCGCCAGTCCACACACAACTGGGGGTTGTGTAACAGCGGGCAGGAGACCAGATTCAGCTAGAGTCACTGCTGTGCCATTCTCAACCTTACTTTACTTTCCTCTCCCAAAACAGCACCTCTAATTACAATTTTCTTTGTTTTGCTTTTCACAATGCCCCCCTTTTACTTGAGTGCAGACAGAATGTGCTGCTGCTTCTCCCTCCCCTAGTACCTTCTGGGGAGTGGTAAGAAAAGAGTAACAGGACGTGGAAGATGCAGCCCTTTGTGTCTGTTGCATTTTCCCCTCCTTTCTGATTTCTTCATGGGAATTTAATGTTCCTAATCCATTTTTAATACTTTGGATTGATGGAGTGGTACATTAAAACATAGGGACACAGAAGTGTCCTGGCACTGCAACTAGAAGGTGGACAGTGTACAGGTTGTATCTGAATACCCAGCCAGGTCACCTGAGTGCTTCGAAACCTGCAGTCCAGGTGTGTTTCTATGGCTCCTTGTGCCCACTGCTCATGTTGGGCTACTTCATCACATTTTCTATTGTGAGTTTCTGCCTAACACTCGTTCTGTTTATTTTGCCCCATTTTATGGCAACCAGAAAGGTTTGGGTTTGGTGGATTTAACTGGGAAGCCTAGTGCTAAGCTCTTGTCCCAGTAAATATAAAACAGACAAGTCATTTTATACCTCCACATTCCAATCCAGAGTCCTACGATGCTCGTAAGAATTGTCATCTCAGAAAAAGAGCACAAGCTAACTCTGAAAGAAACCCAGTCTCACAGCAATCACTTCCCAGCCTCCACACAAACAAACCGCTTCAGCTGCGATAAAGCCATCATAAATCAGTACCAAATTAAGGGCAATCTTTTATCTTAATACAAATACGAGAACATATTGTACAGAGTAACAGAAAAATATACATCTTCAGCCATACAAAACACACAAAAGCTTTCCTGTTGGAAGAGTACCTTGTAGCTGACTGTCAGTTGTTGGTAACTTACTAGATGACCCTGCAATACTGAACAGGGGGGAATGGAGGACTTCTTTCTTCATTTTTTTTTTTTCCCCCTAGGAATTAGTTGGCAGCATTACCTGTATACCATAAAAACCCTCCCTGGGGCTGCGGTTCTGCTAGTGCTGGACCACCCACCCCTCCTGGTGCCCGAGATAGCTCCACTGAAGGCAGAGGCTGCTCGCGTGCTGGAGGTGGACGGGATGTACAGCCGGGCGCACCGTCCACACGTTTGCCAGCACACACGTGCTGGTTAGTGGAGTGAAAAAAATGGGTATAGACACAGCTATGCCATAAACTATCCGTGTTGCTGTTCTTTAAAGTGATCGATCAATTCATGTCAGTCAGGAAGGGGGTTTATCTACCCAGGAAAGAAAAAAATCCTCCCTGCGCGAGCTACGTCCACAGCGCCAAGGCTCTGCAGCCCTCAGTGCCAGGCAGGAGCTGCCCGAGTGTGGGCGAGCCCCAGTGCCTAGGCAGCCTGGAGGAGGTCAAACTTCTCGCTGAGTTAAAAAAAGGTCAGTACCAAGCTAGAAAGTCAGTAGCAAATTACTTTAAACAACTGATTCTTTCCATTAATGGAAATACGGCAAGATTTAGTTGAAGGTTTAGGTCAAGATGACAAACTAGAGGGGGTGTTGGGTGCGTATACCTGTATGGTGGGGTGTCTTTCCCCCTTGCAGCTATTTATATCTCTGAGTGAAGGTTAAGGTTAGGAATTTAATAAGACAGCTGTTCATTTTTCTGTGGAGACTAACAGTCCTGGGGTTAGGATGTAAGAATCATTCTTCTGCTTTAAAAATGGTTCTTTAACAAATAGCAGTAGCTCATTGCAATTTTCAGTTGTACAAAATGACATATTCTCTATGTTACTATCAAAATATTCTGCATAACATTAATTTCTGTGCACTTATTAACATATGTACAGAACAGTGTTTCCCAATAGAAATCAGTATGCTCCTTGCTGATCCTTTTTTGCCCTAGATTTACCAAAACCAAACCTGAAATTAACTGTGTTAATAGTATAAAATCTCAGGAGAGACAAAGGGTTGAAGGTTTATTTCCCAGCAGCAAATGAATAAAGGAACTCCTTCAAGTTAAAGTCTAGCTGAGACTTAATTTTAACCAACCGTGGTGAATCCAGGCAAGCCAGGAATATCACACATTTTCCCGATGCATTATGTTGAGTACACAGAAGCAGAGGAATGTAAACAGACAGAAGGCACATGAAAGGCCCCAATCCATTCTCCATCTGACGGAAGTGCGAATTTCATAATTCTGTCATCAAGAGTCTTTTCATCATTTTCTCTCTCTCAAGTTCACGCCTCAGAGTCTCAGCGCTGTGTAATTAATGCACAAACAGCCAATTATGGGAACAACAATAAGTCTCAGATTTCAATTTAAAATAATTAACATTTTCAAAATACCAAAGGAGGGGACAAAAAGGTCAGACTCCATTCAGTGAAAAGGCTGATAACTGATGGCTGATTCAAAAACAAGTACCGCTTGGTATTTCTGAAGAGCAAACAGAGGCAAGGAAAAGGACATAAAAAGACCCACATGGCAAAACAGTTCAGGATTTAATCTCACCCCCATTAAAGGCTACTGATTTCAAAGGGAGCTGGGCTAGGACTCTAGTGAATAAAAGAACTGCAGTAAATGCCATCACAAAATCCTTGTGTTACAGCCTTTTGCTCCTCGGCATGGCCTGATATTGGGGGACACCTGCGTACGCTGAATTCACCACAGCCCTGCATGCCCCCGGGCACGGGAAGCAGAGCCTGGAGTCCTTGCTCCCACACGCCAAATCACTCCAGAGCCCGTGGGCCCTGCAACACTGGGAGTGCCCTGGGTTAGTGATTCCCTTTCTCAGTAAATAGTGTGGGGAAAAAAACACCCTGTTTCCCGTGTTGTTCTGAGAGTTAGGTACCTAACGCTTGTAAAACAGTTTGAAGACTTAAGCTGCAGTGCAGAAACTTTGCAGCCCTTTCATGGGCAAGCAGGGGTGGAATCACCCGTTTGCGCTCGAGACCTCCTACAGAAGCTCACTTCAGCACTACGGCTTCAGAATTACATTTTCACTGGAACAATACGTTTTTAGATGAGTTAGCAATGTTGAACAAGTGTGCAGGTGCAATTAAACCAACATCTGCAAAAAATAATTAACAAATGAAAATGGGAATTGACTGTGACTCCAAAAGTGAAAAAGGCTCATTTATTACGATGCCAAAGAAATACTTTTCTCTTTAGCATAAGCCTGGGACTTTTTGTGCTCCAGAAGTATTGAGTGTATCCACTCCTACATTTGTATTCAGTAAATTATCAGCTTGGGAAATTCAGCTTTGATTAAATTCTAGATTAAGAAGCCAGCATGCAAAACTGGTAGGATGGATGGAAGAATAGAAAACTGAAAGCAGGCTGCCTGTGGAAAGATGGGATGGCTTGTTGTTTCTCTGAGAAAATTCAGGGAAGACCACTGTAGCTTGACATTGCTAATTCAAAAAAAAAAAAAAAAAAAAAAGGGAAGGAAAAAGAAAGAAAACCAGTGCCTGTTTTTTGTTAAGAAGAGCAGACATTTCTCAACCTCAACTTTTGCCCATGGACCTTTAACTTAAAAAAACAAATTGCAACAGCAATTATCAAAAGAAAACCTCTGTGGTTCAGACAAAATGACTTGCCTGAGGAAAATCTGCACGACCCTTTCTCTCCAGGCCACTGGCCACAGAAGTAGTACGCTGCTGGCTGACGCAATTAATTAAGGTAGTTTTTTTTTTTTTTTCTCAGAGTAGGTATGAGTTATAGGTATTTCTTTACATAACCCACCTATTCTGACGTAGGTGTCAAGCAGCAGCAACTGGAAATCTTTTGGTACCAGGAGAAATGGCAGTTTATGGTAATTATGACAGAAAAAGAGAAACCAAGCTGATTCCTTTAATGCAGAGAGCATCATAGTATTTCTGTGAAAGAAGTGCAGAGTACCTGTCTGCCAGCGAAATCGGTTTATGCGACGTATAGACTGTCTGGACCGTTGGAGTCGGTATAGTCTCTGCCAAAGATCTCAGTACGGGCGACGGAGTTACCAGCGTTATCTTAGGGGATGACTGCACCGCACAGCACTGTAATTTGCTGTCTGTAAATTCTGCCTGCAAAAAAAAAGTATACAGACACAGAAAAAGTGTAGATTAGCTTCGACTGCTCTTGCTACCTTTCATCATCCAGTTCATTGCCAAATGCTCAGTAACAACAAGTAATAACGAGAACAAGTGGGAGGCTGTGGCTGTAGATGCTGCACAGCTGGCTCTTTTGATGGCTCTTTCGGAGCCGTGCCTGAGGGACAAGCCTGATGGCAACGTGAGCCATGTGAGACGAAACTCCACGTACGGGACTGGCAGCATTCGGATAAAAGACGTAATCAATTTGGAGAATGGCGCTTATCATTCTTGTGTTTTCCCTAAAAATAATGCAGGACACTGACCACGGGAGATTTTGGGACTAATTTTCACAAATGCTATACAGTTTGGTGGGGGCTCCTCTGATTACTCTGCTTTGTAACAGCCAGGAGTCCAGGCTTGCAGGAGTCCAGGTTTCAAAGTGTCCCTCCCTTTCCTACATTTGCCAACTGGAACAATCCTCAAGAGAAATATCCTTGTGGTACCTAGTGACAGGCAACATTAAGACAACATTGGAAGTTCTGGTTTAAGACAAACAGCCATCTCCTGTCTTTCAGGTGAGGCATACCAGCGCTGCAGCATTACAGCAAAGACTGGGCCAGCCTCTACAGATGGAGGGGGAGGATCCCTACAAATAAAACAGCCCTGCCTTGCTTTTTGGCACGGACTGTTTCTCATGCCAAACCGCAGTGGCGAGTGCCTGTGGTGCGTGTAGACCCTGGCCTGGGAAGAGCACAGAGCAACTGCAGTCTGTCAGTGCGTCAGGACCATTAGGATATGCTCCTGCTGGTATCGGCTGCATTTCTTCCTCGACAACTTTTTCTTCTGAGCTTGGGTCACACTTTAAGGCAGGGAGGAAGAAAAGTCACCGTCATAAGGGAGCAGCTATTTGAATAGCAACTTTTGGTTTTCTTTGTCTTAATTATTTCTCAAATTCTGCAAGCCACACAGGATCAATGACAAACACAAACAAATCGGTTTAATCAGTGGTACAATTATTTGAGCCCAGGAAAGAATGGCCGTGTTTGTTAGGTTTGCTTGCCTATTGTAAATTTTTAACATGGCTCTGCTCACATTTCAGCTAAATGCATCAGATATGCTCCAGAACAACCTCTGAGGCAAAAGGAGTTTCATTAATTCCACAAAATTAGTAAAATGGAAAATGTAAAACCAGCTAAAGAAACTCTCCTTCCAACCCTGGCCAGTTATGTGTGTAAATACTGGCTAATACAACCTGTTCAAACTTCTCTGTCGTTCACCTTTTAAAACTCAACTTTACAAGCTGCAGGGGTATCAAATTTGGTGTTCCTCATGCAGGATCCCTGTCCTCTGAGGACTGCCAGCTCTCACTTTATGGCATGAGAAGGAGGCACCTCTCTGTGAGGCTGATGTAAATTCTCCCAGCCTTACTGAAATCAGCAGAGCGATGACAAATTACACTTGCTGAAGATTTACCCCGAGTCCTAAAGCGTGTTTGCTCTGGATAATGATTTTACGGTATATATCCAAAGCATCTTTTTGTATGTATCTGCTTGCACAGTATGTTTGAGCCAAATATTTAACTGGTCAAAACAGATAAAATTTCATTAATTTAAATCTATGTGACTCATACCGGCCTGAGAATATGGTCATCAAGCCTGCCATTTCTCTGGAAATCTCTGAAATTCAGAGGGGTTCCTGGCATGGGGCTTATTTTTAAACATTCAGGCAACCAAGTTCTCTAATTTTCCCTCCGATAAAATCAACACAACTGCATAAACATGACCAAATAAGAAGCCCTGCACAAAAGGTAAAGCCTTCCAAATGTCACTGTTCATAACTTTTTTTCCCTTCAATAACATTTCAATGTTTTGTTTCAAGCAAAAAAAAAAAAAAAAAAAAAAAAAAAAAAAAAAAGTGAAGGGGAAGCAAGGAAAAGAAAAAGAAAGAAACCCAAACAAGGAAAAAGATTAACAAATGTTACCATCTGGGACTGTGCGTGACTGGAGAACATTCAGAGTTAGATCTGCCTGCAAGCCCTAGCACTGGTCTAGACCTTTCCCTGCTGGGGGGGAAGCACGTCTCTTTGGGCTGGGACGGGGGACCGTGAGACACAGGACCAAAATCTAATTAACCTTCCTAATTGTTTTCCCAACTTCGTGCAGTCCTCTAGGTAGCTGCTCATTCACGACAGGTATCTGTGCCTAACCCACTGAAAGGAATGTATGGAATCATACGATGGATCACACACCATTAGATTTTATTGTAATGGTGGTCTAAATATTTGTGATCTGGATTCTGCCCTCCACCCTGCCCAGGGAAACGGGACTCTATGGGGAGAAGAGGGAATTTCAGAAAGATTAGTTTGAACTTTACTTTGCTGCTTCTCTCCCGACAGAGCATAACAAAAATCTCAACATCTGAATTTGCCATGAAACGGCCACGTTCTGCAAGATGGCAAGTTTTGTGGGTAAGTATATTAGGGTAGTTTCCATTTATATTTCAAAGTTCTATCCCTCCCCAGTAATGATAACATATTTTATACAGGCCTCTTAAATTTTGCTTTCATCATAACTGTCATAGACAGAAAAATAATTTCATTGCTAATCAGTGGGAAAGCTCTTCTAGGCATATCTTTTTGCTTACATAAAGTAGTACCATGAAAGACACAAACAGCGTAACTTTGGTTTAGCTTTTACCACAGCTGTACTACCTGGACTTGGCTGACCCAGTGAAAAGTTGCTGCGACATATTCCCATGTATTTTTGGATACCTTTAATTAGAGCTCAGCTGTGGCACTGACACAGCTTGGGGAGCATAACTAATTCTGGCTTTAAAATACCTATTTGGAAAAAGACAACGTTTAGATCAAATCCCATGATCAGGTTTATTGTGAAAGAAAAGCCTCTTTCTTTAAATTGTTAAATTCAGACAGCTGCTGCACATGGCCCAACAGTGATCGAAGTTACTTATCTCTGATTATCTGCCAGGTATAGTTTTCTGCTACCAGTAAAAGTGAAGGTTAAAGTCTGAAATGCTTCATTTTGTGAATGCAATTTAAAAACCGTAAGTCAGTTACTGTGGTTTATAATCAGAGACTGTTTCTTACAGAGTAAATCATTTTGTCATACCTATTACATAATGCCTCTACCCTTAAAGAAGGACTTAGATTGGACTTATTTTTTAAATTGTCAAATAATTTCTTCCTGTTTCCATGTAGTTTACCTCACCAAACCCCCTAAATCACAACTTTTGTGGAAGTTTAACAAGAATTAAGTTCAAGATGTGATTCAAGTTCCTAAGTAAACAAGGGAGTTCGTACAAGGATACCTTTGTGGTCATCAACACGCTAACTATAATTCTTCCTTAAAATTCAGATGCAAATTCAATGAAAATCAGGCCCCTCTTTGTGATGGCCCAGCAGGCGGTTTCAGGCAGAAGGCCACGCGATTACGAGACAGAGGACCAAGTCTTCCCATTCATTCCCTTACTGCCCCTTGGAAAGATGGTATGGAGCTTCGCAAATGTTCTCTACAGTCCTGAACTGAACAACAGTTTGCGACTGACCGCAGCAGCCTCTCAGTCCTCTGTCTAGTAAGCAGCAAAGTCTGAATGCAGGCAAGTTAATTATTTGTATAATGGGAACATTTAACTGACTAGCACTCTAATTTCTACTTGGAATTTATCTTTTGTTTGTTTGTTTGTTTTTTGTTTTTTTTTTTTGTTTTGTTGGTTTTTTTTTTGAGGACTGCTTAGCGCATAGTTTCTGACCCTTAAAAAAAATCAGTTGGAATTGTGTTAAATACACAGTTTTTTAGTTGCACGTTTTACTTACAGAAAACTGTGGTACTGTTGTAAAAGGATCGAAAAAAGGATTAGATGTATCAGCAGGGAATGTCTTTATCTTTAAAAAAGATAAAGAAAAAGATGTTACTTTCAGAGCATAAAAATGCAAAAGAAAAAAAAAAAAAGCAGCAAAGCATTGCAACTACAGTGACATATCCAACAAATTAGAGCAGTTCAGCAGTGCTTGAGCCAGACCAAAAAAGACCCCTCCAAAAACGTGTACAGAAACCTGATGGTGAATAGTTACAGCATAAATATGAAAACTTGATAAATTAATTTTACCATGTAATTAAATCTGCTGTGCAAATGTGGAACTGATTACATACAATGTATCTTCCAATTCTGTCAACAGCCACTGGATTATTATCTGCTTCCTTCAGCCAGCACTACATTTTAAAATATGTAGTATGAAGTGCAGGAGCAAACTCTGCAGTGCAGGAACTTTGGCTAAAGAATTTGTACTTTACATATTTTAGGTTTCCATATTTTTCTGTTACACCGTTGCTGCCAAAGACAATCACGTAAGGTGGGACTGAAGGAAAACCATGTATAGAAAGAGCACTGGGGACAACTGACTGTTTCAGGCAGCTACGAGGCCCTGTGTTGAGAGGAGGGCCTTGGATAAAGGATGACCTTAGCAGGTTTTTTTGATGGAGAGGTGTGAGACCAACACGTCCATGTGCCAAGAAGCCTGAGAGATCCCAGGGCTTGGTCCATGAGTGTATGGTCACTGGTGTGACCAGGCCCTGCTGGAAGTCACTCCTGCCCTTAAAACAATTTCAAACATCAACTGAAATTAAAGAAATATTAAAAGCAACAACAATCTCTGTCCCACTTCATTGTCAATGTTGTTTCTCATGATTTTCTTCTTTAGAATGCAGATGTTATTCATTCAGTCAAAGAAACAACAGAATAGAAAATAAAGGTACAAATTTTGAACTGCACTTCACACTTTCCATTTGGAAAACCACATTTTTCACTGTAAAGGTGTGTTTTTCACTTTATTATAGAAACTGCCATGCATTCGTTTGTTATTCATGTCTTCAAGCGTAGTTCACTAACTACAGCTACACAACTCTTGTTTAATAATGAGGAAAGCGACCCTGAGGGCCCTGAGACCTTGTAGGCCAAAGCAAAACCTGAAATTACGACATCAAATGTAATTAAGTAAATGTATAGTGTTTATTTTGTAAATAAAATAACAGAAACATATTGGCTTATAAGGATGCCAAGGGAAATTAACAGCCATCTGTGGGCCCACTTCTTCAAACATGTGGAATTAATCTTGGCATTAATTGTCAGGCTTCTTACGCACGAGCAGTATGGGTAGCAAAGATACAGTTAAGCACGTAAATAACTTTTTGACAGAATAAAGGTGTTTATAAGTCAGTGCAAATCAACAAACAGTGGTGTGAGGGAGAAATTCTTTAAAATCACAATCTTCTATGCAAACATATTAAAGAAAATTTCACGCTCCTTTTATAGGCCTATATTCACATCTGTTAGCAAAGTGTATGAATATTGCTGATTGAACATCCTCACTGGATTGAAGCGCTACCTCCTTGCAAATGTTACGTTGCATCATACCCAGAGCCAAGTCTGTCAAGGCAAACCATGGACAGCTGTAGCACGTCCCACTCTTTTGAGAGACAGCAAATACCCATGAGCCCAGGAGGTCATTCTGAGGTTACAGAGGGTTTACAATATGATGTTAGAGTAGAAAATAAAAGTGCACTCCATTACAAACACAATGTTTGAGCCAAAGGCAAACGGGATGGGAAATTGGTTGCTCATATGCAGTATGAGTTTGGTATTCCACAGCCAAAAAGTCTCTAATTTTGCAGGTTGGTCTCATTAAGGAAACGACGCGCAGTTACTGAATACAGAAAAGAAAAATGGTGCAGAACAATACTCAAGAGCCCACTGGGCTTTGGGACCAGAGGCACATAAGAGGAGTCAGCCCTGATTACAACACTGCGGCACACAGCCAAGCAGAATACTCTTGCAAAATCAGTACTGCAATCTGTGGATGTGCCTGAGGCAAGCCTACATAATAAAACACAGCAAAAAAATGGTTAATCTGTCTTAGTTATCAGCGTGAGTTCCTCTCTCAGGAAGCTGTGCTTGTTTAATCTTGGGAATAAGACCATCTCAACAAATGAAAGGCTCTCTAGGTTCTAAACCCACCAATTTCTGGCATTTTAAAGAAACTGAAACCAAAAATTAAGGATCAGAGGGGAAAAAATAAATATTTGTGTTCAATTTCAGAGAGACAAACAGAAACCATCCTGCTTGGCCTTTAGGATTTACTCTTTCTTCCTCTCATCTTTTTTCCCCCTGAGAAGAGGCCACTGCTACTCAAATGGCACAACAGAGTTTTTTGGTTTGGCCCAGGCCTTGGTATGAGTGCTGCTGCCAGTTCCCACAGGCAAAGCAGAGAGACAACACTGTTGTCTCCTCAGCACTGGCGAGAGGTTCTTATCTACTGATAGCTTGGCGATTTTGAGTACGAAGTAGATACAACGTCCTCATCCGTGCAACAGCAGAAAAAATCCGTATATTTGAGAGCTCTTTTCAGACTGAAGATATTCAGGCTGAGGAGACGGTAGTGTGGAAAGCATCAGTTAAGCAACTGGTTTATGGGAAACTGCATTTGGAAATTTGGAACGGTCTTTTCACTGAGGAATAGACTTTGGCCTGACTGTCCTGCATGTCCACCACAGCCAGCAATGTGCTAATGACAGCAGCAGTTGCCAGCACCTGGGGAGAGGAAGAAACCCCTGTGATTCCCACCCTACCGCACAAGGAAAGCAGCATCATGTGTGAGTCTCTTCCTCACCCTTGTCTTGGGGTTGCATTTGTTTCATGGAGTCAAAACTCTCTGAGTAGCTCAGAAAGCAAAACAACTCCCTGACCAGAACAGAAGGCAAAGACCTGGATGTTATGCATTCCCCACACAGTACACAGCCTCTCTCCCTGCCCTAAGGAGAGAACATACCACACCTTTAAATGTCTCCTGACTCATGTGGCAGAAGCAGATCCTAAACTTTTCCTGGGTGCTTTCTTCTCCCTGCTGCAGCAGCATCTGTTGAAAGATGCCACCTGGGGACCGAGAAAGGAAGAAGAGCAGAGCCATCACCACCTACTGCAAACCTGCAGTTCCTCCAGCCTCTGGAGACCTTCAGCAGCTTCCAGGCTTCACCTGGGGTTGCAAACACGAGGGGAAAAGGAAGAGGGAAGAGGAGGTGGGCAGCTCTGTGTGCAGGACAGTCTCGTGCAGCTGAACTGTAGCCACTCAGACTAGCAAAACACAGTAGCTGCTAGCACGTGGGTTGCCTATAAGACAAGCTGCTGAGGTATTCTGTCTACTTTGGTAGAAGACAAAACAAGAGAAATAACATCTTTGAAGTTTACAGCTGAGCACAAAAATTCCGTTGGTGACAGGTAGAGCAGCAATTGTGTCTACATTGCAGAACTGCTCAGATAAGCACATTCCGGCACAGTCAGGCTCTTCCACAGGAGCAAAAGGGACTGACTGGTGTCACAGGGGCCACAGAAATATCACGAGCAACAAGGGGTCAGAGCTGCACTCTAGATAAGAGCATAGATAGACTTTTAAGCATAAAACTTGATTTCAAGCACACCTGCTCTCTCTGCAGGAGTGAAAACAGTCTTGCAGCCAAAGTCACAACCATAAAACAACCTTTAAGGCAGGTCCCATAAGTAACTGTCACGTCATAGAGGCATGAATTGAAAGCGTTCTGCATTCCAGCGGCATCTCACATCCTGAGGGCCTGTTTCACAAACCTCAAATGCCCCTTGCTTGAAAGGTCAGGGTGCATTACCAGAGCAGAACTACTTTGGACAAGTATCTCCTTGTCTGAAATATTTAGCTTGGCAAGTTGAGAATTTTCTAGGCTTAAAAGAACAGTTGACTCTTAACAAAGAGAAAGAAAAAAGAGAAAATAATACAAAAAGGATCAAGTACAGTCTCAGGAAAAGCCCAGTGGTCAAGCGATAAATATTTAAGGAGAAAAATCTGAAAACCAGTCAGCATAACAGTCATATTGATTTTGTGGGGAAATGAATAAAATTTTATTCCTCTGTGGATAATTCTCTGCCAGTACGCAAAGATTCTTGTTGCACTATTAGCTCTCTATTGGGGTGACATATTTTGGAGGTATCTTTGCCACAACCAGAAAGTATTAACAGCACTAATTTTCCTTGATATTTATACTGCAAAGATTGAAGGAGGGTGAAGGAAGTAAAGGGACAACAGGACAAGAACCCTCCCTTTTCCTTTGCATTTGTGCAAAGAGTTCTTCTGGACAGAATTTAAACTCTCAGTAAAAACAATTGTACTTTCCTGAAACACCTTTCAGATGGGTTAGGATAAAAAACCTGTAACCTTCTCATAAAAGTAAATGGAAGTGAAGGGAGACAGAGTACTTTTATCAGGTTAATTGATATAAATTTAGCTATTTTTGGTATTTCTATCATAAGGGAATATTACAAATGTTCCTGCTGTGACAAAAATATACCACTTTTGGGAAAAGTGGGCTTAATTTGGATACTTTCTCTTACATTTGGGGTAGTCAGTATATTCACTGCCCTGCCACAGCATTCTTTCCTTCTACAAAGGTTTGGAAACATTTTCTGTTGTTGACACTTTGCTTCACTCCTTGCACCTTGACTGGAGGCCTTTATAACACGACGGAGAAAGTGTGTGATCTCAGTGGGTCTGCACTGCCACTTTGTATACCGGCCAGATGGAAGAGAAACTTTAGGCCAAACACTTCACTACATTTCTGTGAATCGTGGCAGAAGCAGAGCTGCTAACACCTGAAGTGGTGTCATAAACACAGCCCTCAGTACACACATACAGCCAGAGGAATAGTCTGTGGTGCTTTATTTCAAAATACAGGCTATAAGTTGAATACCATCACATCCACATAGCACAGAGACTCGTTTCTACTTATCAAATTAGAAAAGATCAACAGCCAAAGCTTCTGGAGTACATTGCATCAGCATTTACCAGTCCTGATATATGCTGTGACT